GCGGGGAGCCTGCTTCTCCCTCTGACCCTCTCCCCTCTCATGCTGTTTCTCTCTCTCGCTCGCTCTCTAAAAAATAAATAAAATCTTTAAAAAAAAAAAGAAAAAGAAAAAGAAAACTCACTTGACCTTAGAACTTTTCTCCCCTTTTGGCCTGGGGAAGGGGTGAGAAACTCCTACTCTTAAGTTCTTTTTTTCTCTTCTTCAGCTGTATTTTATTGGATTAGGAATTTACGTTTATGGAGAGATTGCTCATCTTCTATTCTTGTTTTGTTTTGGCCGCTTTACCTGCCAGGCTGCTATTGGAGGCCTATAAAGCTGGACCCTAAATAAAAGCCATCCTCTGGATTAAAAAAACAAGATATTAAAAGTGTGATATTAATCGATCATTTGACCTCCATTTCATTGCAGATGATGCTGGCTGAATATCAGAGAGTGAAGTCAAAAATGCCTCCCACCATAGAGACACTGATGGCCCCTCATTTGGCTAAAGTGGACGAAGCTCTTCAACCGGGCCTGGCTGCACTGAGCTGGACCTCACTGAACATTGAGATATACTTAAAAAACACTTTTGCAAAGATCAGTAAGACTGTCTGAATGGTTATTATTTCTCATTTTGTAAGGCTGAGTTCTTAACGTCTAACTGTATAATTTCTTCCAGATACTGTGATATAAATAATGCAATGGGAGTGTTATTCTTAAGCTGTTCTCTAGGGAATTTTACCAAAAGACACAAATTCGTTAATTTCCTGGAAACTAGATATATTCACTCTTTAATTTTATCCCCAGAGATAAACTACATTTAAAAATTATGCTTATTGTTGGACACTAGACTTTAAATAAGATGGTCAATTTAAAGTTGGAAAACTGTGATCCAGAGATGCTGAGTGACTTCTAATGTGATAGAGATGTAAGCAGAAAGGATGAGTTTAGAACCCAGTTCCCTTGCCTCTAAACCAATAGTCTTTCCAAAATACATCTCCTTGGGAACTAAAACAGGAGGAAATAGGCTAACATTCTAGAAGGAGGTATTTATGAATGGCATAAAAACTTCATGGTGAGAGTTTTCACTACCAAATTGGAACAGGCTACCAAGGTAGACTTTAGTACTACTCTTCCTAGAGAATATTAGCATTAGAATGTTTACGCTTGGATGTTTTATTATTACATTAGTTGGAGACAGGAGCTAGTTTCTAAAGAAGTTCTCCTTAGTTCTCTGATTCTGTTTTCTTTTTGTGATTTAAGTGAAAGATCTAAGATGGATGTCAGAAGTCCAAAATGACTCTTAGGGAATTCAAAATCAAGGTATCAGCAGAGGTAGTTCCTTCTGGTAGCTCTGGGGGAGAATCCTTTCCAGAGGCCATTCTACATCCTTTGGGCTCATGGTCCCTCCATCCTCAAAGCTAGCAACATAGTATTCTCAAATCTCTTTCTCTCTGTTTCTTTGCTTTCATGGGCACGTTGTCTTCTGTCTGACTCTGACTCTCCTACCTCCCTCTTACAAGGACCCTTATGGCTATACTGGCCCCACCTAGTGTAGATAATTCCCACCTAGATAATTTAGCACAGTCTCTACATCTCAAGTTCCTTAACTTGATCACATTTGCAAAGTCCCCTTTCCCATATCTGGTAGCATTCGAAGGGGATTAGGATGTGGACATCTTGGAGGTGGGGGGCCTGGGTCATAGATGTCCTTGGAGAAGCTTTCAAGAATCAGAAACAGTGAAGAATTATATTGAGCATGCATGCTCACAGAAAAGTGTTGGCTCTCTTTTAGTAGGAAATAAACTTACCAGGCAGAACTTTTTGTTATCTTGGTATTAGCTTAGAAATGATTGAAAACTTTTAGGGCCTTATTCTTTAGGAAGCAAAGGTATTTATTTAAGGGAGTGTTTTATGTCTTTGATACATCATGAGTATATAACATGGACTTCTCTGTATTCAATTTTAACTTCATTCCCCAGACAAAAGTGATATCAGAAAAAAAGAATTCACTCTATGGTATCTGTTGAAACTGTATTATCCCTTAGATGGAGCTTTATTAACCATCATTCCTACTTTTGATGTAAAAGTGTTAATTTCCTCTAGAACTGACCTTTCTGTCCATGGAAACTTAGTGCTCAATATTACTTCAGCATAATTCTAAAAAATGTACCTTATGATAGTAACTGTAAAAGAAAAATCGAGGGAATTTCGCTTCAATAATATCTGTAGGGGAGCCTGGCTGGCTCAGTCGGTAGAGCAGGCGACTCTTGGTCTCGGGGTTGTTAAGTTCGAGCCCCATGTTGGGTTGGAGATTACTTAAAAATAAAATCTTAAAAAAGAATATCTGCAGGATACCCCCTGTGGAATAGGCTGTTCTCTAGGGAATTTTACCAAAATACATGAATTCGTTAATTTCCTGGAAACTAGATATATTCACTATTTAATTTTATCCCCAGAGATAAACTGCATTTAAAAATTATACTTATTGGGGCGCCTGGGTGGCTCAGTTGGTTAAGCGACTGCCTTCTGCTCAGGTCATGATCCTGGAGTCCCGGGATCGAGTCCTGCATCGGGCTCCTTGCTCGGCAGGGAGTCTGCTTCTCCCTCTGACCCTCCCCCTCTCATGCTCTCTCATTCTCACTCTCAAATAAATAAAATCTTAAAAAAAAAAATTATACTTATTGTTGGACACTAGACTTTAAATAAGTAGGAAGCAGGGATGACAAAGAGGATGACAAAGGGGAATTCCAGAAGAAGGAAAGACATGACGAGTAGATGAGTAGGCAGTATGCTACACATGGCCATGGAAGGAAGCTCAGGGGGTCAGTGCCTGCGCAGGACGAGGGGGCCGCTGGAAATATGTGCAGGTTCCCAGGAAGCCTCCTGGGGGCGCTGCATTCGAGCCAGCTCTTCAAGTCTGAGTCACAGTGAGGCCGGTGGAGAGAGCGAGAGTGGGAAGCTGGTTAGAGGAAGGACAGTGTGCAGAAACCAAGTGAGAAATAGCCATCTGGATCGACTTTAATCCTGATTTCAGCACTGCAGTTTAGTCATGTGCATTTTTAAAAAAGATTTATTTATTTAGTTTAGAGAGGGAGAGTGCATGAGAGCAGGGGGAGGGGCAGAGGGAGAGGGAGAGAGAGAATCTCAAGCAGAGCCTGGTGTGGGGCTTGATCTCATGACCGTGAGATCACCACCTGAGCTGAAACCAAGAGTCGGAGGCTTAAGCAACTGCCACTCAGTCCCCCTAGTCGTGTCTTTTTTTTTTTTTTTTGAAACAAAATGCTTAATCTCTTTTATTCACTTTTCTTTTTTCCAAAGAGGACCTTGAGTTGCTGCTTGACAGAGTCAACGATCTGATGGAGTTCCGCATCGATGCCGTTCTGGAAGAAATGAGCAGCACGCCGCTTTGCCAGCTCCCTGGGGAGGAGCCGCTTACCTGCGCAGACTTCCTCCAAATGACAAAGGTTATTAGGAAATCGATGTGTTTATTAATTTTTTTTTTTTGAGAGAGCGAGAGGTGGGGGAGGGGCAGAGGGAGAGGGAGAGAGAATCTTGATCAGGCTGCACGCCCAGCGCGGAGCCGTGACCCCAGCCAAAATCAAGAGTCGGAAGCTTAACCAACTGAGCCACCTCTCCCTCTCCCTCTGCCCCTCCCCCCGCTCTCATGCACTTTAAAAGGTGAAAGATTTATACGATCTGAAGAGAAACCAGAGTATTCTCATGCACTTTATTAAAATAATTAATAAAGGGTGTTTTTTGAAGCATAAATTACTTTTTTTTTTTCCTGTCTGTGATTGGTCTGTGATTGATGTGACCAAATGCAGAGACTTCGGACAGTAATTTGAAACTGAAGAGGAACGTATCCAAGGAGTCACCTAGACATGAAGAACAGGTCATTTCTTTTCAGACCAGTAGGAGGGAAATTGCCATGGGACACATTTCTCATTTTTTCCATATTTTTTGAAGAATTAAGCTATTTTGTTGAAAAGTTTCCAGTAAGCTAGTGCTAATTAACAAAACATTTGTTTTCAATAGCTGTGGGACAGAATTTCTTCTTTAAACATTTCCGGAGAGCACCACTTCCCAAACTGGTGTTCTGTGGTACATGGTCCCGGAGCCACTGGAGGAAACCAGGAAAGCTGGGTCTGTGTTCAAACTGCTCAGGGTAAAGGCTGGTTCCTCCTTTCCCCTTGCAGAGTCTTTACACATTTACATGTTAAAATAAAGGCCGTCAGAAAGTCTCTTGGAAAAGAGCCCATTTGGCTTTCTTTGACCCATTTTTCTCAAACTTCTTTTGCAAAAGGAATACTTTCTTCCCTATGCTGGGATTAAGATCCTAGAAACAGTGCTCCCTCCATGAAGCAGCCTTTTGGGAATGTCATTTTAGCATCATCATTTGCAGTGTTCCTGGTTGGCATCCTGAGTATAAGAATTCATCAGGGTTGATTTTAATATGGTATGTCAGCAGTCCCCAAGACCATCTCCACTTGAAGGATGATTTATGAGAATGGTAGATTAAGATTTAAGATAACATTTAATCTTAGATTTAATCTTTAAGATAATCTTTAAGATAACATTTAATCTTAAGATACAAGATTTGTAAGAGGGACTCCTGGAACTCAGCATCTGGTTGCACTGAGGACTGAGATTTACTACAGGGACGTAGTAAAGATACTCAGACCCTGAGGGAGAAGAGGCGGGAGTTTGGAGGAATGCATGTGTAGGCTTCCTTATGCTCTCTCGCTCTCATGAAGGGTCACACAGAGCTCACTCTCTTCCCAGCAGCAAAAATGCAGCAACGTGTTTGCAACATTTTTGTCCAGGGAAGCCCATGGGAAACTCAGTGCTTGAGGTTTTTAATGGGTCTGGCCACACACATAGGTACCCTCTGCCTAGCATGGACCCAAATTCCAGATACCCAGAAGGAAGACAGGTTTGCAGCATTAGCCACACTGTTTACACAGGCTGTGTAGGCAGAGTGAACCAGTCTTATCTGCTGGGGAGATGTGGGAACCTTCCTGACATTCAGGCCCCCAGACACCAGCCAGAGACCAACCTGGCATGCACAATTGCAGTCTCAGGCCTGTCCTGTTAACCCTTTCCTGCATATGCGGTTATCTTTGGTATACATTAAATTACTGTTAGATAATCAAAATTAAATGTCTACATTTTAGAAATTCCTGTTTCCTCCTTTATTCAGACTCACGAACTGTGTCTAGACCCCAAATTCCCCCAGGCCCCCTGCTCATTTGTCATGATCTTGCCCTCTGGGCAAATCACTTGGCTCCATGGTTTTAATATTACCCCTCTTCTTAGGATTATTTTATAAAAATGTTTCTTTTAAATGTAAGCTCAAGTTTTAGAATATTTTTAAAAATGAAAAAAATAGTATTTTTACCAGTTAGACTGCCATTGTTATAATTTTTGTGTATTGCCTACTTATATGCCTTTTAATAAGGTTGCGAATGGTGTTTTTCTCTCCCATTTAACATTTTCTCAAGAAATATTTTTCATGTTGTTATGTGGCTTTCATGGTCACCTTTTTAATTATGCCTTCAGAATATTTTATTGAGTTTATGTACCTTAATTTACTTACTCGTTCCTTGTTGCTGGACATTTGGATGGTTCCCAAATTTGCCAAGAGCTGCAATGAATATATTTATATGTATCATGTTTTTCCCCTCTAGGAGTATTTCCTTCTTCAAAGTAAAATCATTGCATCAAAGGATGTGGCTTCATTTAATAGCTCTTAATATTTGTAGCCAAATTGCTTTTCAAAAGGATGGCACCAACTTACAATGCCATCAGCAATGTGACAGTACCAATTTCACTATCTTCCAACAGGTGCTGTTTTATCGTAATTGTAATAAATTATAATAAAGATTTTATAATGAGGTATATAATAAAACAAATTTATTATAAATAAAATATAATAAATTTATTGTAATTTATAATCAGAAATTCTAATTTATTAATTTTCACTTAAGTAGCAAAATCATAGAACCTAATTTTAATTTGCCTTTTGATTACCAAAATCAGTGATTACCGATTAAGTGAATGCTTTCCCTTGAATTTGTTTACATTTTATAATTCATTTATTCTTCAACAATTTTTCTGGTGCTTCTACGCAAACCACTGCTTGGGGATACAGCTGTGAGCAAAACAGATGAAATCCCTGCCTTCATGGAGCCCTTTTCAAGTGCAGGATACAGAAGAGCAAACAAACAAAAAAGCCAATAAATCAACAACAAGTTAGGTGGTGATAAGCTCACTGGAGAAAAATTAAAAGGGTAATGAAGAAAAGGAGTATCTGACAGAGAGTTGTGATTTATGTTGATGGACAGGGATGACTTCTGTGATTACATGTGAGCAGAGGAAGTGAAGGAGCAAGCCATGTGAATAACTTTGGGGAAGAGAATTCCAGGCAAAAGGAACAGTAAGTGCAAAGGCCCTGAGGCAGAAATTTGTTATGGTAGTTTGATGAAAAGGAAGATGTTGCACTGAAGTTTATCTAGTATCTTATGCTGAGGGGGAAGGAGAAAGGGAATTGCTAGTAAGCATAGTATCTGGGGAAGCAGGGGAATCTGTGATTTAGAACTCAGGTTACATGATTATTCTTAAACAGAAGGGAGAATACTGCATTCACTGAAAAAGGAGGAAAAGGGGTTGATGATGGAGGCCACTTTGTCTTCTGGGTGAGGGCATGCGGTCAGGGAGTTGAGTGAGTCCCTGTGTCATTTGCTTTGTGCTATAGAAATCAAGGTCATTAGCTGAATATGTGGAAGAGGATGGTGTAAAGATTTGAGGACACAAGGATCTGAGGATACAGCTGTTATGAGCACATTAGAAGAGTCTCAAGATGAGTAATGGTGGGGCTTGGAAAGGGACTGGAGATTGTGCCCAACCAACAGAGTCTGTTATTGCATGGGCTTATTGTCCAACCAGGTGGTAAATCACTGACTGCCTATATCATCTGTTTCTCTCTCCATCCATCCATCCATCCATCCATCCATCCATCCACCCATCCATCCATCCATCCACCCATCCATCCATCCATCCATCCATCTATTATCTGTCTGTCTCTACAGAATCGAACCCAGTGCCCCAATCATATTAGTTTATATTTGTTAAATCTCATTCTTGAGAAACGTGGAATCTCACGAGAGGGGAGAGGAATCTCTGAAATGAATTAAGGGCTGACTCTGGCTTGTTTCCAAAGGTGAGGAGGAGAGAAGGAAGGCTGGCTAGAGCAGATTGATGTGAGATAAAGGATACTTCATGGAAAGAGAGTCTCCTGGGAAACTTTCAGAGGTATTCTCCCCCCACTCTTGGAGAAGTAAGTGTAATTTTGGTCTGCCTGTGCTGCTCCAGTTGGTTCCCTATCTTTAATGAGTTCTTTTACGGATGCCTGGCCCTGGTTCGTGTGAGGGTGTGGCCAAGCATCGTTGGAGGCCAAAATCCCCATCTAGACGCTGAATCTATGGCATTACTACTATTACTGATGAGGTCTCAAGAGCTAGACAAACAAATATGAACTGTGTTAATTGTTTTTTTTTTTTTTTTTGATAGGACCTTTGTATAAAGGGTGCTCAGATACTAAATTTTAAAAGCTCATTAGTGGAGGAAGCAGTGAATGAGCTAATAAATATGCTGCTGGATGTGGAAGTTCTATCCAAAGAAGAAAGTGACAAAGTGTCTAATATGAATAGTGCTGATTCAAAAAACAAAAGTTCGGGTAAGAGATGGAGTCATGGAAGGGTCTTATTTTTCTAGGACATTACTGAAAACTAAAATTTCATTTCTACATAGTGATTGGTTTCACACTTCTGTAAACACTCTCCCAATTTTATAAGGACATTTATAAATCTGAAATTATGATTCTGAGCATATTGTCATTTATCCCATTATTTTTTGTTAAACTGTATATGCATGTACCTTATCAGTAGAGTAGAATGGATGATGGGTTGGAATTCCCACTGGAATTCCCTGCCTATACTAAAGCAAACCTTTTGTAGGACAGATGAGGACACTGAGAGGCAGGGAAGGAAAGTGATTCTCCCAAGGCTTTATGGCTATTGATGGAAGAGAGAGCATTAGAACCCAGGTCCCTGAGGTCTGGTCTTGCCTTTACAGCCGTAGCTCCTGTCTCTCCTCCTATTTCCTCACACCAAGGAGGAGAGGACTCCATCGGCCCACCCGGTGCCCCAATTTCTTCTTCCTATTCTTTGATGGACTCGCTTTCTAGGAAATCTGACGTTTAAGTATTATTCAACTTGCATGTAATTATCTTAATTTTCTTCTCTTTAATTGCAGTAGATGGTTCTCTCTTTCTCCATCTCTCTCAATCTTCTCATCTTGTAACAGCAAAGAGACAAGAAGGAAAGTCTGACACCTTGACATCATCCCTTAAGGCCCCGGCAGGCCTCCTGCCTTTGGCAACTATCCTGAGAAAGAAGAAGGAGACTGAGGTGTTAGAGGAGGAAGCCTGTGGGTTGCTGTCCTATTTCAACCACCAAAACATGGATGCACTTCTGAAAGTTACAAGGAACACACTAGAGGCCATCCGCAGGCGTATTCATTCCTCCAACACGACGAACTTCCGGGGTAATAATTCCACACAGTTTACCTACTGGCAGCCCAGCCATGTTTGCTGCTTGTGTGTGTATTCCTGTTATTTTTAAATAATTTTAAAAATCCACCATTTATTGAGAGCCTCCTTGTAAGTTTATACTTTATGAACTTTGATTATCCCAACAGTTCTATGAAGTAGATCTTATTAGTCCATACTCTCCAAAGCAGAACATTTCTTTACTATTTTTATGTCAATTTAGTACTTTCCAGCCAGTTTGTTCATTCTTAATACAATCATCTTCTCTTCAGCACAATTCAGAAATGGGTGTTGCATTTCCCAGATGAGCCACAAAAATCCATCAAATCTAGAGACATTTTGAAACTAAATTTTATATTAAAAATGAAAATACATTATTAATTAAAATTACAAAATGATAGGGTAATAAACCCGATTGATTTTGAATATTGGCATTTAAGGGGAAGCATCTCTAATAAATTAAAAGCAGATGAATAAAAGTGGATACATTGAAGGAAGTTTTGATTGGCAGCATGGAACAGAGTGATAGGGCTTTTATTTAACACAGGGATATTATTAGAATTTATCAAGCATTGGTTGATATGCTGAATATTAAATCACATGTCTTTCCCAACTGTATATATTATAGGTATTTCCAACTATATAAAGTTACACACACACACACACATCCACATTTATGTATTTATGCCTTAAGGCGATACTTACACCTATATGCAACTTTAAAAGCCCCTTGGATATAAATGATGAGTTACGCTTTATCTCTTCTCCATTCTTTAACTGCTCCCAGTTTGAATTATACGCACTGTGGTAGAAGAGGCATATGTTTTATGTGAAATTCCAAACTGGTTATTTGTTTCTTTTTTTTTTTTTTTTAAAGATTTTATTCATTTATTTGAGAGAGAATGAGCTAGAGAGAGCATGAGAGGGGGG